AAGCAAATAAATTATTTTACTTTATAATATATTATATTATTTATTATATAATATATTAATATTTTATATATTATATTACCTTTAGTGTTGATGCTCGTGAACAAACAGTCGATGGGGGTTTTCCGCAGTCGGATGCAGTTTCGGTCCTGGTGACGGTAGGAAAGAAGAAGAGGATGAATGTTGGGGCCGACTCCTCCTCCGACTTTATGCCCGATTCTTAGCGCGCGGGGTGGACTGATAGCCTGCACATGTAAGAATCGTAGGAATACATGGCTAGTTTCCTCCGTGGTACCTCCGCCGGTCAAGTCAGTTGATGAACTGGAGAAGGGTTTGTTGAGAGGCCCATGGGCCATTGAGGTCCTTGCAAGGGGTTTTTCCTCTTGGAATTATTAAAACACAAAAGGGGAGTAAAGCTAAGGTGCAAGAAGAAGTAGCCAGAGCTCACCCGCCCTTACCTTCCTTACCTCCTTTTATAGCCCCCTTGCCTCTGGGAGTTTGACCATCGACTTTTGTTGACTATACACAGGAGGCTGTTTGAAAGGTGAACAGGCAGGCTGCTGAGTCATCTTTCTTCTTCCAGGTGTCGGCAGACGACTGGGAGGGATGTCACTCAGTGTCAGGGGAGAGAAGTCTTCTCAGTGCCCTGGGTTTGTCAGAGTAGGTAGGGTGTAAGGTAGGTCGGCTGTGTGGCCGTCCTTTGTGTACAGAGAAGCATCACGACAATTCTCTGGGAAATGACTTATGAGTTGAATAGGCGGCTTGTGCAGGAGATCCTTGTCAGAGCGTAGATATTGATGGGACTAGTCAATGCTGTAGCTTCGAGTGACATTTGAAGTGGTCTTGGTCGGATCTTATCCCTTTAGTTAAGGTTGGTTGATCCGTGAGTCATCATTATGATTCGTCGACCGACAACCGAGTGAGTTTTGTGACGAGAGCGCCATCGAGACGTCCGCTCGGGGAGTCGTCTTAATTGCGGAGGACCGACTGGTCCCGCGCTTCGAGTCAGTTATGACGACTCTTGGTCGAGAGAGGGCTCGCCTGTTTGACTGGTCAATAGACTTGACCTCGGTCCGGGTTATGACGACTCTTGGTCGAGAGAGGGCTCGCCTGTTTGACTGGTCAATAGACTTGACCTCGGTCCGGGCTTCTGAGTTTCTTGAGCCGATCAGGACCATGGCTTTTTGGGCCTTTATAGTCAATCTTTCGACGTTCTTATCTCTAGATGGTAAATTACCATAACACTTAGTATACAATATATTATTATAATATTATTATTCTATTATTGTTTTATTATTGAACATGATACTATCATCAATATTTTATAATTATTAATTTATTACAATTTATTTATTAAAAGTTATAATATTATAGTGATTATAATATTGTATATACTTATTATCAATAACTTTCTTATTATTTTTATTAGTTTATTTTTATTTTATTTTTATTTTTATTATATACTACATTATCAACCTATTAAATACTAGTAGTTAATATGTTATTATATTATTATATAAGACCTTTTATTATTATATTTTTATAGTATTTAATAAATATTACTAATATATTAGATTAACTATAATATAGTATAGTATAATATAATGTAATATAATAAACATGTCGATAATAACTATATATTAATTATATTTAATACATTATGTTAGATATTATATTAACACATCATCAAACTCAAAACCAAAACACCAAACTTAAAACACCTAAAAAATATTTTGAAATAAGTGTTGTGTTTTTGGTTTGATGATGATTTAGCTCAAAAAATACAATGGTTTCTAAACACATGATGTTTTGTTTTTAGTAAAACCACCATGAAAATAAAGAAAACACCATGATATCTAAATAAAGTCTTAGTTATTTCTGAAAAAGCAATTATTTAAATAAAGTTTTCAGTTTTATTATTTCGATGCAGAAGTTCAGTGAGGGATAAAGTTGAGAAATGATTAAAGGTTGAAGTATAAAAGAGTAATTACAACGGTTTGAAGAATAATTTTTTACAATTACCTGCTTTGAAGAATAAATTTATGAGAAAAATCACATCATATCATGTAAAGAATAAAAATTTTGATTTAAACCCAATCTAACTTTTTTTAAAAAACCGACTCAGTCTCCTTTTATTTATAAGGATCAACCCACTTCGCACCCACGTCAACATCGTGACCGCGAACTGAGGTGATTTTTTTAATCACCCTTGCTAAATAATCGGGGTTGGCAATCTCGACTATTTAGCAACGAGTTTAAAAAAAATTGCGCCCCACTTCGTGATCGCAAAGTGGGGTGATTTTTTTTAATCTTGTTACTAAATAGTCGGAGTTGCTAATCCTGACTATTTTGCTAATACACAAGCTAAATTAGTCGGGGTTGACAACCCCGATTAGTTTAGCCTCTATATTAGCAAAATAGTCGGGGTTGATAACCCCGACTATTTAGTCAGGACAATTAAAAAAATTCGCCCCACTTCGCGGCCACGATGCTGACGTGGTCGCGAAGTAGGTCGACCCTTGTAAATAAGAAGAAATTGAGTTGGTTTTTTTAAAAAAAGTTGGATTGGGTTTAAATAAAAAATTCCTTATTTCGCTCTTTTTTGATTTGTCTCTCAAATATCTTGCTCCTCTGAACGTCGCCTCCATCGCAGTCCTCAGTGAATCCTAATCCAAAGGTACTTCTTTCTCTTATCACTCTGCTCTCCTTCTCTATTCTCTGCTTACGAAACCCTAATCAAAGCCTACCTCAATTTTCTAAATCCCATCAATTGCCCAATGCACCCCACTTCATTTTACCAAACCCTAAAACCCCAAAAACCATGAAACTCATCACTGACCCAATCATGCCCAAAACCTCAGTCCTATCCTCTGGGTGCCTCACCCATCGAAACCCATTCGCCAAGATCTTAACTTTCACCCGCAATCACGGCGAATGCAAGCTACCAGCAAGAGCTTACGCTGCTTATTCCACTTCTGCTCCAAAGAGAGCGTCTCCCCCTGTCCACGGACGCAGAACGCAGAACCCCAACTCCCCCCCCTCCCTTTACTCAAGGCCCAGCTTGCTCCAGATGAAGAACGACAAGGCCGCGAACCGGGTTAGGGTTTATGAGTTCCTTCGCGGGCTCGGGATAGTGCCCGATGAATTGGATGGGCTTGAATTGCCCGTTACTGTTGATGTGATGAGGGAAAGAATCGATTTTTTGCATTCGTTGGGGCTTACTGTAGACGATATCAATAATTACCCGTTGGCTTTAGGGTGTAGCGTGAAGAAGAACATGATTCCGGTGCTCGACTATCTTGGTACTTTAGGGGTTAGGAAGTCGGTGATAACTGAATTTTTGAGAAGGTACCCTCAGGTTCTGCACTCGAGTGTGGTGGTGGACCTTAAGCCAGTGGTCACGTACCTGCAAGGGTTGGATATTAGGCCTGTTGATGTTCCTAGGGTTTTGGAGAGGTACCCGGAGGTGCTAGGATTCAAACTAGAAGGGACGATGAGCACTTCAGTAGCTTATTTGGTGGGCATTGGAGTTGCAAGAAGAGAAATTGGGAGAGTTCTTACTCGGTATCCGGAGATATTAGGGATGCGGGTTGCTCGAATGATCAAGCCTTTCGTCGAGTACCTTGAGACCTTAGGCTTACCTAGGCTGGCTGCTGCTAGATTGATAGAGAAGAGCCCCCATATTCTTGGATTCGGGTTGGAGGATAAAGTGAAGCCTAATGTCGAGGCTCTTGTGGAGTTTGGTGTTAGGAGAGAGTCATTGGGTTCGGTTATAGCACAGTATCCTGAGATTATGGGGATTGAATTGAAGAATAAGCTTGTTTCTCAGCTAAGTTTGTTCGAGTCCAATATGTTGGCGGGTCGTGATGAATTAGGGAAAATGATTGAGAAAATGCCTCAGACTGTTAGTCTCGGTCGTGCGACTGTGTTGAAGCATGTCGACTTCCTGAAAAAGTGTGGCTTTTCATTGAAGCAAGTCAGCAAGATGGTGGTTGGATGCCCCCAAATACTTGCTTTGAATGTCGATATTATGAGCATGAGCTTCGAGTATTTTCAGATGGAGATGGACAGGGATTTAGAAGATTTGGTGGAATTTCCTGCTTACTTTACTTATAGTCTTGAATCTACGATAAAGCCTAGGCATCAGATGATTGCCAAGAAGGGCTTGAAATGCTCCCTGGGATGGTTACTCAATTGCACGGATGAAAAGTTTGAAGAACGAATGAGCTATGATTCGATAGGGATTGAGGAAATGGAAGCAGAACCATCATTTGACATGAATACATTTTTAGAACCAAGGGAAGAAGATGAATCTGAAGATGAGTATTCTGAGTATGATAAGGACAGTGAGGATGAGGATATGTGAACTCCATTTGTGCAGTTCTCACTGTAGGTATTTGTTGAATACACTTTTCCATATCAAATGACATCAGAGCGCCTTAGCTGAATCCTTAAGAGATTTTGACTGTGAAAGCTGAATCCTGAATCCTGTTCATGATCTGGTTATACTCTAGAAGTACTCTCTAAATTACAGATGTGTGGCTTTCCATTCTTATTGTCGCTATCATTCTTGTAAGTTTACAAGCTTTTCAAGTTCAGGGTCTTATGGTTCTTATTGGTTCTTCAATTCTTCTATGTTTTATGCGTTTTGAAGTAGGGTACTTTACCCTTGTGTTTTTGTTATCGTTATTATTCTGAGCCGTAGGAAGGGACTTTTTGCATACCACTATTATTTCAACCGTGACCATGTTTTTTAATTTTGTGCACATGGAGGATTGCTATTCAAAAAGTAAACATGCCTGTGTTCATGATTTACCTCCTTCGATGCTTCCTCTGTTGAATGTTCTTTTCGTGTTTATCAAGCGTTTTTGAGCTGCATCAAAAACCAAATGACCAAGTTTAGTTTTGCTGTCTTCTGACTTGCATTTTTAGATGCCTACCGTGCGGTAGCAAGCTTATCAGTTATCATCATGCTTCTTATTGTCTGGTGTAGCGTGCTCGTAGCGCAGATCATTCTTGTTTCCTGTTCTTACTTGATCATCAAGATCCTGTTCTGATTATTCATATGTTCATTGTGGATACTTGTCTCTGTTTTGATTATTCTGGTTAGCCTTGGAAATTATGTCTCATGTAGTAGTACTCTTTTCATGAGATGGACTGGTGATAAGCATTGATGCTTCTTGTTTGGATAGCTTGTTCCCTTCATTTCTCGGACCTCAAGCGGGGCTCAATCAGAAAGGAAGCTTGTGTCCCTGAATACTGGATAGTTTGTTCATTCATGATTCTCGTTACTCTGTCAACAATTTGAGGCATGCTCAAATTGCATGCGTAGATTTTATTTTTTTATTTTTTTATTTTGTGATATGTTTATTTGTAGATCATAGCAAGCATCTATAGGAAATGCATAATGATTCTGCTACAATAGTGGATACTTATCGTCCTATAAATTTTGAGAAAATAGAAGCATTATGATTTCAACTGATCAAACTATGTTGAAGAAGCACTTGTGGGGTCCTAGGCAACCCTCGATTGTAACTTTCTTTTGAAGTTTTCTTTCACAGAGAATTTCCATGAGAAAAGAAATTAGATGAACTTCCTTCTTCGTGCTGCATGCTGTTTGCAAGTTGCTCTACAAAATATCATATTAGGACATCAAATCAACCGATCACTTACCTAAATGATATCACAATTTTTAGGCTCATGTCCAATTGGGGCTATCCTTTTGTGCTCTATCTCTATATTCTGGTGATACCACAATGTATGCTACTAGATAATCTGATGGTTTTACTTGGTTGGAAAGTAGGAATTTCTATGATCAAGTGCTGGATGACACAAGGAGTTTGGGAATTACGCTGTACTTTAAGTCTTTTCAAGATCTATTTTAAGATGAGAAGAATCATGGAACCATTATCAAAAACCCTCTAGAATAAATCAGCTCATAGATGACTTGGAGAGTGAAGTCTTATTTTTTTCTCTCCAATAATAATCCAGTTGCTACGGATTCTCCGCCAAGTTGTCAACTAAATTAATCCTTACTATACTACAATAACCATGTGCTCTTAAACCTTTTATAATCCCACTTTGAATTCTTAAAGTTCTCTGTTAATCACACTGCCATGTGGACAAACTGATTGAATCATAATCTCAAGAAAGAGAGATCTGAGAGCAAAACAATCAAGCCAATGGTGGAAGAGCAAGAGGTGATGATTGTAGGCGGAGGGATTGCGGGGCTAGCAACGGCGCTGCCGTTCCAGAGACTGGGTGTTCAAAGCCTCGCGCTTGAGAGATCAGATGAGCTCAGAACCACTGGATCAGCCCTCATCTTTTGTATCCTAATACTTGGCGCGCGCTTGATGCTGTTGGAGTCGCTCAGAAGCTCACCTTGAGCTACCCACTGATGGAAAGGTAATACTTTTATTATCAACGAATATATGAAATTGGTTTAGGTTTCCATTTGTTAATGTTTCCTGTGTTGGGTTGTATTGTTAATAGGGGCAGTGTTACAAATCTTGATACCGGGAAGAAGTCTCTGTTGAATTTTGTCCAGAGCAGGTACCTGATTTGTTTGTGTTGCTTAATAAAAAGTTTATTTTAGGATTTTGGGTGTTTTATGATATTAGTTCCTTAAATTATTTTCAGTTTGATATTAGTTCATTAAATCTTTGTAATTGCTTAGTCCTTCAATTTATGTAATAACGTAGACAATTTGCCCTAAAGTTAAAATTTCGTATTGCCAATGAAAGAAAATAGACAAACTTAGAATGTGAAAATTCCATATGGCGTTAATCTGATAAAAAGCATAAAAAATAAATACATTGTTTGT